TTTACCATTCGTAGCACTATATTACAACTCGTGAAGCCGATTCTTTGAGCAAACAGTTATGATATCTTCCCTTCTGCCATGGCCTATTCACATTTCCTATATCCTCCAATCACTCATGGACTGGATAAACATGAACATTGGCTTAAGGCCAAATGGCCGCAGTACAACGCGAATCAACCGATGTCTTCCGGTGAGATTGGCCTGCGTATCTCTTCATCGTGTATTTCCTTGCGAAATGAAAGGCTTCACATTACGGCCATGTTACTCGAGGCGCTCTTTTTCACTATAACCCGTCTCATGCTTTTGATGGTACGTATGATATGGCTTCAACAAGACCGTATTTCCATTTATCTTACTTGGGCCTGTGGACTGGGCCAGGAGGACAACAATCAGGGTAGAACCCGTGTGCTGTGAGTCACTGTCTTTGGTCCCCAACTTATCTCTCGAGTAGAGTTACGGTCAAACTGGCCTCGCGCTTTTAACCTTAATACAATATCTCTGACATTCCCATCTCCATGTGCGCCAACTACTACATGCTGTAGCAATTTTCTTTGCTTGACTAAGCTCATAATAAATGTCTTATGATTTTCGGTTGTCCCTCGAGAGCAACTAATTTTCGATCCCATGTTTTCCGTTAGAGCACATCCTCGATTCAATTGTTTCCTTGTTGACTCCTGATCGTGAAGTTTGCCTGAGTTATAAAAAAGTACTTGCTAAGGTCTCCTGTAAAGGTAAAAACAGCCTCTAATCTTATATTTACTCGTAGCTTCACTCTATATTGATTTCCAAGAAGGCTAATGTGTCCCGTCAATGCGATGGGTTCTGCTATTTCTGCTCATTCTGCATCCATGCTTCTGCAGAGCCTTTAGCGTTATTTGAAACGTAGGATGACTTTTCCTTGTTTCGTGGTTCTGCTTCTGCTCAAAGCCGCCTGTTATGTAATCCAATTTGTCCACTTAATATCGCACCAAAAAGTTTTAGTGTTGTCTCTCCTTTAGTGATCATCTCATTATTCTATTTTCCTGTCGGTGGCAGTTGTGACTCTTCAAAAGAAAGGAGGCATATGCGCATCATTACCGATTTTCTATTCATAACCCATAAAGTAAAATCAAATCTTCGCGACCCCTTATTTCTTTATATGACCTCTGTGTGGTATGTTACTGAGTAATATCGGAGTCGCTTAATTCAACTCATATTCCCCGAAATACATATCCTTTAATCTTAGACTTATTATAACCATGCTCTTAATTATTCCGATTTACTGCCTATGAATTTGATTAAACTAGAAATCAAGGATGAATCCAGCATGCAATTTATTTATGAACACCCTTATAAGTGTTGGAGCCAAAGACCTTGACATCATGCTCCATCTAAATTGTAAATTTAATTCTTTTTTGCAAGCTGGTTTAAAATTAAGGACTTTTTAAAATTTTTCCTACCATGCGACCAATAGAACAAAATAGTGAACCAGGCAGCGCATGAGCACTCTTGGCTGCCACGATGGCGTCTTGCCAGTTTATGTTGCTCCAAGCCTGTTGGTGACTATCAACCTTAATTGGTCCTCTTTCCTGTATCTTCGGTAATGCGTAGGCTGTCAGTGGTCTCTCCCTCTTATTAGTGAATTCATCATCCATCCGTCAATTTCTTCATTCATATGAATTTATTTCAGCGCGTCCTTCCCCTTTCACTTTGATAAGTTGTAACTGTGCTAGGGATGGCGACTCTCACTAACGATGTCAGGGAAAAGTTTGGAATGCACCAGACCAATTTTCCGTTGTTTCTCATCGTTGGGTGCTTCCTCAATATATGATACGAGTTTGCATCTCCTAATGTCCTTTACATTTTATCCGTATACTGCCTTCTGTCCCTTATCACCGGCACTTCCTGCTTACCTCCTCGGTTCTCCCCTTGTAATTTTCTGTGTATCTTCCTAACTTTTAATCCATAGCAAGTAGAATATTAGGTAGGTAGATAACAAAGTAGGAAACCGTGGACACTAGATAGATAGTTAAAGAAGTGGAGAAGTAAATTCTGAATATATATTCCTGACTCACGAAGCCTAGTCGTAAAAATTAATCAGATAAATGAAGCTTATAAAGGAGAAACGACGCCGAGTATTGTTGGCGGAATAGAATGATAAGTCGTTAGCAGCCGAAGGATGCTAACTATAAAGAAAAGAATATTCCAGAGATTAAATTGCATAAGTTGAGGAGTCAAAGATTGATCATGATTACAGAAAAAGTATAGAAAGTGTTAAAAAAAATGAAAAAATAGGTGAGATGGAAAGCGCTGGTTAAAGGAGACAGAATCTAATGATGTATAGGTAGAGGATAGCCTCGATAGAAGGTATATACAAGGAGGCATCCTGAAGAAACAAAGTTTGAAAGGAACCAATATATAGACAAAGGAAATAAAATGCCAACCAAAAACCTAACTACTAAAAAAAGACTTTGATGCTCATCAAAGCAGAAAATAGGAATACTAAGAGAATAAAGACCGAAGGATCCTTAAATTGTGACAAAAAAAGAAAGTGCTCAGGAATAGGTGGAACCATGAGCCAAATGCAGTCATAATCATATCAAGTATTAGAAAATAGCAGAGCATTCGAGCATATCCTATCATGTGAAGGCCTGTAGGTATACATATAAACAAAAGAAAAGATGGATAGATGTAAATATAACCAAAAAGACTCAGTCTAGTTTAATAAAATCAGCACTTACGTTCATACATTTATGGGACCGTGCCGATGGAGAAAGGCCTAAAAGAAATAGTAGATTATAGCCATTGCTCTGTTGGGCTATTCGCGATTTCTAGGAGGCGCCATGCAGTCCAGGGATTCAACTCTTCCTGATCACGGCAAAGAGCCCAAAAATGGGTCACTCGGAGTACACGCTCAGGGTCACCTTCTTTCACCTGACCGGTAGCATCACGCCAGCAATGAATTTCCTGTGACTGAAATGAAATAATCAGTACAGGGCCTTGGTCCATGATCTTTCCCATCTGTACCTGGAAGAGCAAAGCAAGAGAAAAAAGAGAATATAGGAAAGTAAGCGTATAGGGGAAATGATAACACACACACACACTAGAGATCGACTGATATCGTGCCCCCAGCTCGGTTTCCACACCAAAGTTAATTCTAAAGACCGAGAGCTTTAGCACAGCACCTCAAATGGTATATAATTTGGGTAAATATGACATTTAATTTCATATCGCACATATAGGCCCACATCGGTAACTTTCCAAGCAGATTCCAGGTCAGGGGGATTGTTTTTACTTGTCACTTTGATGACTTGTAACTCTGTGCCAAGGATAACGCGAAATGTTTGGGAATATGTCAGGTAAATGTTCCGATGCTGGAAATCATCATAAATGCTATGGCAGAGGAGACAAAACTAGGTACGTTCCCTGTCACTTCAACCAAGGTGCGAAAATGAGGTAAAGCCAACAAAATTGTAATTATATTTAATAAATAAACATAATTTATAAAATGATTTAGATAAACCATGAAAATATATCACTCTACTTTATAACTGAATATTATAGTAATTATTATAGGCTTACAAAAATGTCATCAATTCTCCTCCATTTTGTCCTAGCTTCAAGCGCTGCATCTCTATCTCTCAATCCCACTTTATATGGCCAGTTTACCCATTCACATCATCCTGCGTTCCCACTTTATCCAATGTCGCCTAAGAGCGTGTCACTTCAAGTGGATTTAGTGAAACGTAATCACCTGCAATACCGAGTTCAGATTCCGTTCGCAGAGCTACTGATTTCCATTTAGCCCCCCTCCACTATGCTTGCCATTTGCTCCATGCTACACAAGAAAATGATTATCTAGCTGGCTGCCCATGAGCCTTCGATTCCGGTACCTGTTTAAGTGCTATTCGGTGATTTAGAAAACCGTCTGGACTTGAGTCCCATTTGGAACCGACGTTATCAGCATAGACTGCTTCAATTATCCACTTCTGAATCACATAGAGCAAAATTTTATGAGACTTAAATTCCATATTCTACAGGTAGAATTTGAAGCTAATCCTAGGTTTGACCCTTACTGAAATCGCCTTTTATTGACTTTCATTCGTCCTGTTGTTGAATATATGACCTTGGCACAAGCGTATACTTATATATGTCCTCGCTAAATCTTCAAATCTGTCCAGACAGTAAGCAAAATGTTCGTTGATTCCTTCCTTTTTAAACCAACTGTTCATTAGATTTTCTTGAAAAAAGGATGTCCACGGTCTCTTTGATCTTCCATTTTCACACATGAGGTCAGTCCTTCCGTTGCATTCCGATCAATCATCAATCCAATGCTGACCGTAACTCTGCCTGTAATTAATTAAGGGTTTGTTTGTTTAATATAATTTTATTTCAACATATTCTCTAGTCCGCCCTCATCCAGCATCGACTACAGTTTCGATATGGCCTAGAGATTAGCAATCCCTCCAGAGGTATTTGAATCATATTGAGGCAAACACATTAGTTTCTAGATCATGCGAACATGGCTACAGAATTACCTGAATTACCTTTAAGACAAAACAAGCTTATCTCAACCCAAATAATTTTGGCAACTATGTAGCTTCCAAGTGGCTCATGCGATACAGTAATCAGTGCTGAGCCTCTAATTATATAAAACAAGCATATACATTTAATAGGTTGCTTAAATATCAGTCTAAAACTTCAAAAATAGGTCAATATTTAAATAAGTAATTTCGACTTACATCAAGACTGGTTAAGTCGAGGACTTGCGAGTCACTACTGAGGCCGATATCAGTTTTTTCTTTAAAATGTTGTTTAAGTATGTTGTATGGCTAAAAACGAACATGAAATTGGAAGATAGAATGAAGAAGAGAAAAGCGATGAAGTTAAGAGCAGATGGGCCATTTAAAGTTAGAGTTTGCTTCCTAAATGAATAACTATTCAGTGTATGCTTCACTTAAGGTGATTAAAAAAGTGATGGTAAAACTTACCCATAATGAAATGAATATATCTCACAATATCAATAAATTCCACTTGGTCTTGACTTCTGAAAGGTTTTTTCACCAAGGACATACTGTAGTTGAGGCTCCGCCTTGGTTTCATCGGCATCTCTAACGGAATTTAAAATTGGGTAGTGAGCATCGGGGCGATACGCTACTACTCCGCTAAGCAACCAGCATACACCGAAAATAGACAAGGTAGTCGATTGTAATTACAAATACAAAGTATGTTTTTGAGAATGCCATCGACAATCGTACGACAAATGAAATACGAGAAAGGCCCGGCTTGTCAGAAAGGTCACAATTACATTGTGAACCAGTGAAT